TTTGGCCTTAGTTGTTTTTTATGTACACTAGTAGATTTCTGGTTTGCTATATTTATCACCTTTAGACATTGAAAGGAGAATGCTTAGGGAAAACTGGGCTCACTTTGCTAGGAATCAACTTGAAGAGGTAAAAGGGTCACGAAATGTGTCCCTTTCCATCTTAATCTTTGTTCCAAGCAAGAATCTGAATGAGGCTCAAGGGTTCGGTTTTGATCATGTCCTTATGTTGGATAAAGAAAGCTTTTGTTCAGAAAGAGAGTCTTTCTGGCCGGGGACCGGGGCAAACCCTGGACACGGGGCAGCGAAGGAGGGGCGAGGCAGGTGTGCTGTCCTTCTGGCTTTACACTGCTTATGTAACGTAGGCATTTTTACGTTTTGGGCACGAGTCTGAGAGTGGCTGTCTGTGTTGTAAATCAAGGTTCCTCAGAGGAGAAGGCCTCGGGCGACCCAACACAGGGCCCAACCGCTCTTAGAAAAGGCCACCAATGGAGAGATTTTCACGGGGTCAGAAAGGGATGGGACTGGGAAGAGACTGTCGTGCCTGGGCCTGCCCTCGAGGGCCCAGTGTCCATTCATATTTGTAAACAAACACATTGTCGCTACACTCTTTCCGGTCTTCCCATACGGTCTTGGCCATAGGACGGCTGGAGGAAAATGATGAGTGACCTAAGCTGTGGCTTTGATTCACAAGTGTGGCTAAAGCCGAGGAGAAGTGGAGCCTTCTTGGGCAGCTGAGATGAGGAATCGGAGAGTCCGAGGCTCCAAAGGAAAAGGAAAAGGAGTGGATGAAACAAAGACCAAGGACTGAGGCTGATTTCCTGCAACTAACCCCCGTTCTCTCCCCACCAGCATTGCGTCGCCCCGGAGTGCTTCATCTGGAGGTTGACGTTCGTGTCTGATTCAAATCACAAGTGTGTAACTCATGGGACGGAGGGGGGGGACTATGATGGGTGTGAACAAAGACAAAAAAAAAAAAGAGTCAATGCAATATTCTGATGATAACTGCACATCACTGAGGATTCTATTTTGTGTTTTTTTAAGAGAAAAGAAAGGTAAATAAATCCAGTCATCCAAAAATAAATTAGAACTATCAGAAATAACCAAAAGGTATCATGGTAGAAACAAACCAAAACACAGATTTTTTTTTATGCTGTTGCTCACGACGCAGTAACAAGAGTGAGGACGCGTACGTGGGGACGGCAGCAAGATGCCACCCAACACTCGGAATCTACATTAAAAACGACCGGAACCGAATTATGTAAAGGCACCTTAAACAGGGGGACATCTTCAAAGTCTGTGGAATTGGTTCAGATCTGATTAAAGACACAGGCAATGTGAAACCTAATTGAGGGTGTTGGTGTCACGGAAACTGGGAATTGAGACAGCGCTGAGGCAAATTCGGCAGCACCCCCCGCCCTCCGCCCCAAGCTCTGCTCAGGGAGATGGGGAGTAGGGGCAGGACTGTGAGTTTTCACGTTCCATTGGTGAAAACTATTGTGAAACAAACGTGTCCACTGCCAGCTGACATTTAGTTCCTTTACCTTCCGGTCCTGATTCCTCGCTCCTGCGGTAGCTGAGAAGTCCCAGTGACAGTTAATTCTCCTGTAAGTTCGCAAACAGGCGTCCTTGCTTTACGGGCTTGGCTAAGGTGAGTCTGCTCCAAGACGGGGCTTCACCTTGGGTGTGTAAACAACATCAGGTCCAGAGTCACGATCAGGGCTGCGGATTCTGCCCTGAATGCCTTTTGGAAGACAGCCTCCCTCCCCGCTTCTCCGAGGGAGGCCTATGATCATGACAGTGTGCATGTTTTCTCTACAGCATAAGGAATTTGCAAGCTTATAGACTTCAGAGAATATTACCATGTCGTTGAGCGATCAATTGAATAATGACAGGGTGAGTCACAGTGAGCAGGAATCTCGGGCATGTCAGGAATCCTGATAAAAACCTGGTTGTCAGTTCCAAAGCTCGAGTGCCCGGTAATTAAACATTTGGGCACCCAGAGCGGTCCGTTCCATCCTCGGGAAGCTCTTCGAGAGAGTCTCTCCACATTTCAGGTTATACTCATCCCAGGCCCCTGAACTTTTTCTCCACCAGAAGCATCGATGCTGTATAATCAGACTAGAATTTCTGAGCACGCCCCGACCCGTTCGAGCTCTGCCCTCCATTTCAGCCCTTTGCCAGGAAACACGTTCCTTTTCCTCCGCACGTGGCGCTGATCCGCCTGCTCCTAGGATGCAGCATTTCCCCGACCGGTCATCACAGATTTTCCGATGGTGCAGAGACTTAAGAGAACAGTCCTATGGATTTACCCTTTAAGATTCTCAGAGGGGCAAGGGAGGGGATGGCCACTTGTCCAAGGCTGAGATCATGATTTTATATCAGGATGAATGAAACAGGCCAGCAGCCGGCTCACTGATCTACAGGGAAAAGGAAGAAACAAATCAAAGCGATAATTAACTAAATGTTTGGTTGTCAACAAAGCTTGGGGGAGTGAGATTACTGGCACGTTTGATGGACAGGCCTATCATTAAGGAGAAAATGCCAATTTGTTTCCTAAAGTGGCTATCCAAATTTATACCACCCTCCACTTCCCTCCAACACGCAAGGGCTTCGGCGGATTCATTTTCCCTTGATTCTTGGTAGTGGCAGACTTTTAAGTTGTTTTTCAATATAGTGGTGTAAGTTGGAATCTTGAGGTTTTGGTTTGCGTTTTTCTCAATTACTTACAATTTTGAGTATTTTTTTTTTTTTACATTTATTGGTTATGTGAGTTTTCGCTAACATAAAATTCCTAGCCACATCTTTATCCAATAGTCTACTGAGTTGTTCATGGTTACTGGTTTGTGGGAATTATTTACATTCTTGAGGCCCATCCTTTGCCTCTGCGTGTACTGTGAGTACTTTTTCCCGTCAATACCATGTGGGGCGAAGGAACTGGGCCCAGGGAGCCCATGGACTCATGAGGAAGAGTAAATAGTTGTTTTTTAGTAATAAATAGTTCGTAACAAAGCAACAGATAATTAAAATAACTTAAAAATCTGTTTTATTCATATCCTATGCCCACATTTTCTTTCCTAATATTATTGAACTTGGTCTTATAGCATCTTAGCTGATCAATCTTCCCAGAGTTTGATCTCTTTTGTTCACTTTTTAAAAGACCAAACTTTTGGTTTTGTTGAATTCACTATTTTTCTTTACTTTCTGTTTTATTAATTTCTTTCGCCCCCCCCTTCCCCTTTTCTTCTGTGTAGTTTGGGGGCAATGCTATTGCTTTTCTTTGAATTTCTTAATATGAGGCATTGAACTCATTAATTTTGAGGTTTTCTTCTTTTCTTATAGAAATAAACATAAAAATCATCCTCAAAACATTGCTTTTGTTGCAGCCCATGAGTTTTGATGTCACGTTTATTATTATCCAATTCTATACATTTAGATAACTCCTCGATAACACAGATTTCATCATGTGCTTTGTACATCTCTCCACTCTCCCCATCTTAGCTCTGTGTGGCACAACCGGAAAGGGTGCCCCTGGCATCTAGTGGGCGGAAGCCAGGTGCTGCTCAACATTCCTCAGTGGTCACGACAGGGCACCCTCACCCAGCCAACAAAGAATGATCTGGCCCAGCATGTCAACAGCGCCGAGGCTGAGGAACACGAATTTACCGGTATCTAGATCCAACGAACACATATCACTGCCTCAACTTCTCTCCTCCCCTGCTGTGAAGGAACGAGGCCGTCTCTTCGGAGAGCACCAGGTGCATCCGGCTCTGGTCCGCGCTCCAGTCTCATCTCATCGAGCTCAGGATGGTGTTTTGCGGAGAGAGTGGAATGGCTCCAAGGTGAAATCTTCATAGTGTGGTTAGCTCAATTCCCAGGCGGCGTCCACACTTGATCCCTTGCTGATGTTCTGGTTAAGAGAAAAAAGGGACTGAACGTTTAGGGTTACATGAAATATGGCTGAGGGTGTGTGTTTTACTTGATCCCTTGATCCCTTTTTTATATCCACACGATACGTGGCCTGATGAAAGAGACACCCCCAGAATGCCATCCCTGACATCAAAGAGCAGGGGTCTTGAGATGAGTCTCTGGCCTACATGTGGTGGCACAGCACCGGGAATACATGGAGGGCGTCTCTGAGAAACAGCCTGCTGGGCTGACGTGTGCAAGTGGTCGTCGAGGTTTTGGAAAACGGAGAGAACGCGTCTGTAAAACGAAAAACATCTGTATATGGAAAAGGATATTTTCAACGATACGCAGACGATCCAAAGCACACCATCTTCCCAAGGCTCAGACCGCTGTTTCGTTTGAGCTTGAAATACGATGTAAATGTCAGACCCGGGAGTAGAATCAGCAGCCCTGGCTCTTGACCAAGTCCTGGCCATAACTAGCCAAGTGACCTCTATTCACCTGTCAGAGGGAGGTGATCATCCCAGTCCTGCTAGTGGGGGTCACTTCCAGCCTCAGAACAGATGGGTCTTGTGAAATGATACATGAATGGAAGGCCTGAAGAGTAAACGCTGGACAAAAAGTAAAATCACAACATAGGCTGGAAGGTAGCAAAGACTTTATTGGGAAGAACCAGAGAAGCTTCCCACAGCTGGGAAGACGATGCAGGTAATCATGAAAAGACAGAGTAATAATGAGTGCATTAGAGAAAAGATTACAAAAATATAGTAAACGTGGAAGAACTCTATCATAATGATGTGTGCTTTAGGTGACTTGGAGGGAAAGTGGCGATCATTTTTGCAAGCCTGACATGCGGACTGTAGGTCAAGGACGTCTCAGTCCTGCAGCCATCACAGAGATGACAGCAAATGAAGAAGGAAGAAAATCAGACTGAAGTTGACTGCATCTGACCACCCTATGCACAGAACCTTTTAATCAAGAATGACTGGCAGAAAGACGGTGGCAGCACGTTGGATGTTAGTAAAACCTGGCTATTGTGAACAGGTGACTGATCATCAGGTTAGTTTGTGTCACAGGATTCCATAGCGGGAGAGTCAGCAGCAGGAAGGCTGGCAGCAGCTGGACACACAGCATGGGCGGCAGCAGCAGCTGGACACGCAGCATGGGCGGCAGCAGGGCTGGCAGCAGCTGGACACGCAGCATGGGCGGCAGCAGCAGCATGGGCGGCAGCAGCTGGACACGCAGCATGGGCGGCAGCAGGGCTGGCAGCAGCTGGACACGCAGCATGGGCGGCAGCAGCAGCATGGGCGGCAGCAGCTGGACACGCAGCATGGGCGGCAGCAGGGCTGGCAGCAGCTGGACACGCAGCATGGGCGGCAGCAGCAGCAGGGCCGGCAGCAGCTGGACACGCAGCATGGGCGGCAGCAGCAGCTGGGCTGGCAGCAGCTGGACACGCAGCATGGGCGGCAGCAGCAGCTGGGCTGGCAGCAGCTGGACACGCAGCATGGGCGGCAGCAGCATGGGCGGCAGCAGCAGCTGGGCTGGCAACAGGTGGTCCCACAGCAGGTGGTCCCACAGCAGGTGGGCTGGCAGCAAGGGGAGCAGCACATGGTGTCAGGTGTGGAGGGTGGACTCCTGCTCAGAGGTGAGTTTCTCAGATTCTGATGACCCCCTCGATCCTGGGGCTTTTATACCCTCCCCACCCCAGTTTCGACCAATGACCAGAACTTTCCTTGTTGTTGTTTATGTTGTTTTCCATAGTCGCTCGGGAATCGTAAAAAAGGAAGTTATTCTCTACATGTTGTGAATGTGTAGAAAACAAGTGCTCAATGTGTTTCTTAATTGAGAATTATTCATAGAATAATTTTTCAGATATAAGGAAGGTGGTCACATTGTCAGCATCGTTCCTGCTTTGCTCATAATATGGTCACATGACACAGTTCCTGACCTCCTCATCAGGGTCAGTACACTTTCACTCCCCAGCATTTTTTCAATCGAATTTCTTGGGGTGACATTGGTTCGCAGAACCATGCACGTTTCAAGTGTACTACTCGACAAAACATCATCTGTACACTGCGGTGTGTGCCCACTGCCCCAAGCAAAGTCTCTTTCTGCCCCCATTTCTTCTCCCTTTGCCCACCTTCAGTAGCCCCAATCTCCTTTCCCTCTGGCTGTCACCGCCCTGTTGTCTGTGTCTACGTGTTACATGTATCTGTTTGATCCCTTCCCCTTCTTTCATCCAGGGCCGACCCCCCATCCCCACCCCCAGCGGCTCAGTCTGTTCCATGTGGCCCTGCCTCTGGTTACATTGTTATTTCTCCGGCTGTACTTTGGGACTAATTCCTGGGGTGACAGGCACGATGCCAACATGTTTACAGCGACAAAGTAAATTCATGCCCGAGTCCAAGTCTGTGCTGTGGAGGAAAAATTTCTCCTTTACCCTTCTAGGTTCTTCTTACTGGTCTAAGAATTACATTGACAGAAACTAACTAGCAGGGAAAAAAACAAATGACAGTTCAAGAACGTGTGTACCTCCTGTATTCATGGGAGACCCAGGAACTAAGTCACTCCCCCGAGATGGCATATGCCTTCATCTTAAATGCCATCCTCAGCTAAAGACAAAAGAAGACCTGGGGGGTGGGGAGTTAGGTAGCTGTGGTTGCCAGGAAAAGCACAGTGAACAAGGGTCAAGTTGTTTTGCAGAGGTAAGGCCTCGCCTCCTCCATTGATAAGTTTCTGGAGGCTGAGTCATGCCCCTTCCTGGCTCAGTGTGGGACACAGCCTTCCGAATGAAGATATTTCTTTCACATGTGAATGTCTTTGACAGAAGGGTAACTTCTATTTGGTTTTCAGAGCTTTGCCTTTGTCTGCTGTATCTTTTTTTTTTCTTCCCTCATTTTATTAATTTTTTATTGTTGACAGTGTTATAGATGTCTCCCATTTTCTCCCTGTCTGCTGCGTCTTTAAAAAGTAGCTAAAATAGTCCTTATGCCAAGAGACAAATTTTGGGGTGGCAAATTCTGCTCCCCTGATGTCCTGCCTTTGAAACTTCCCCCAGAAATTTCACAATCAGAGGCTAATTTGATGGATTCCTTTGTATCTCATTGAATCAATCTCTCAGTCCTGAAAAGATGTCAATTCATTGCAGGAGGTAGTGATGTAGGTAGATTTACAAAGTTAGGACTATGGGTGAAAAACGCTTAATAAAGTGTTTCTATGGGGGGGAAAAAAACAAAGTTGAATGTCTGGAGCAGACTATAAACCCAGCCTGAGTCAGGAGGGCAGCCGTTTGAGAGAAAAGAAGCATCTTCTGCAGTCTAAATGTCTCTGGTGATGCCACTGGGGGTCTAGGCGAGCTGCCTGCGTGGCCCACGTAGCAACAGGCACGAAGCAAATGTTCTAAACACGAGCGCTCACGGCAATTTCTCTGAAGTTCCTGTCGAGCATCTCCCTTCAGCTCGCAGGGCGTCAGGAGAAAGGGCGGTGTTAGTTCTCAGCGATTACAGATCACAAAGGATCAGAGGAAATCGGCAGCGTCAGTTTGGAGAGTCGCAGCCAAACATGAGGAAACTAGAAGAATTCAGAGAAACAAAACCTTAAAGACAATGAACAGCACTGGAATCTACTCTCTACGGGTGTGTAGTACAGTTTCCACTGAAACAGAATTTCCCCCTGTACACTCACACCCATTTTTACCAAAAGTAATGACAGGAAAACGAATCTGTCTTCATAACAAGTCTAGTCTTACTAACTTTGGCCTGTTTATTTACCTAAGAGCGGCAAGAACGGTGATGGATCATGTAGGCTCTTTTATTTATTTTTAAATTCTATTAAAATTTTTGGGGTGACTTTGGTTAACAAAATCATATAGGCCTCGAGTGTGCAGTTCTATGACACATGACCTGTATATTGCATTGTGTGTCTGCCACGCAAAGTCAAGTCTCCATCACCATATATTTGACCTCCCTCCCTCTGGTGACCACCACACTGTTGTCTGTGTCTATGAGTTGTTGTTTGTCTTGTTGGTTCGTTTGTTGCTTTCAGTTTTATATCCCACGTGAGTGACATTATATGGTTCTTGACTTTTTCTGTCTGACTTATTTTGCTTAGCACGATATTCTCAAGGTCTATCCGTGTTGTCGCAAATGGCAGTATTTCATCTCTCTTGTGGCGGAGTGGTATTCAGTGTATGTGTGTCCCGCATCTTCCTTGCCCAGTCATCTATGGGAGGACACTTGGGTTGTCTCCAGGTCTTGGCCACCGTCAATAATGCTGCAGTGAACATAAGGGTACGTATATCGCTACAAATAAATGTTTTCAAGTTTTGGGAGAGATACCCCAAGGAGGGGTTGCTGGGTCATATGGTAGCTCTAGCCCTAGTTTTTGAGGAGACTCCGTACTGTTTCCCTAGTGGTTGTCTCAGTTTACATTCCCACCAGCAGTGAGTGAGGGTTCCTTTTCCTCTGCTTCCTCTCAACACTCGCTACTGCTTCTCTTGTTGACAGTAGCCATTCTAACAGGTGTGAGGTAGTATCTCATCGTGGTTTTAATTAGGTGCTTTTAAATCTGCTTTGATGGGATTTATATGGAATCTTCTCTCTCTCTCTCTTTTTTTTATCATCACCCAAGGACATTTTTCTATATTTTGTTAAGATAGAGTGGGGGGGGGGGAGGGAGAGAGAGAGAGAGAGAGAGAGAGAGAGAGAGAGAGAGAGAGAGAGAGAGAAACATCGACGTGAAAGGGACACATTGAGTGGTTGCCACCTGCATGACCCAACCAGGGCTGGGGACAAACTGTAACCGAGGTATGTGCCCTTAGCCGGAACCGAACCTGGGTCTCTTTGGACTGCAGGCTGACACTCTAACCGCTGAGCCAAACCAGCCAGGGTGATATATGGAATCTTCAGACTGAACTTTTAACAGCTTCTTGAAGCTAAGAAGCCAGGCCAGGTACCTGCAACCATCTTTGCCTGCAATACCTATAGATTTAGGTAAATTTCTCTTCTCTTGAGATCCCCAAAATATCCTGAGGTACTTCCCATAGCAAACTAGCACAAAATTCTTTCCCCTTCTTCACCCTTTCATGAATAGATCTACTTTACTGTAGATCTTAGCAACCTCAGCATACTTGTTTTATTTTTTATTTGGTTAGAAACTCTCGCTTTTTCACTGAAGGGAAGCATTTCGGGGCTTCTCTCTGGCACATCTGCATCACCAGCATCACTACTCTTGCACTTTGGGGCATTGCTAAGTAAATAAGGGTGACTTGACCACAGGTACTGCGATACCAAGACAGTTGATCTGATAACGAGACAGCTAGGAGGTGACCTGTGGGCGGGCGGGGTGTACAGTGTGGACACCCTGGACAAAGGATGGTTCACAGCCAGTGGGATGGAGCAGGACAGCATGGATTTCACTGCTACTCAGAATGGCATGCTATTTACAGCTTATGAACTGTTTTCTGAAAATTTCCATTTACTGTTTCAGACCGTGGTTGACTGTGGGTAATTAAAGCTACAGAAAGCATAACCTTGGATTTGAGGGGGAACGACTATATACTGAGAAGTGTATGCAATATACATGAATAGTATAATAAACAATTATGAAGCAAACATCTATATATCCCAACACCCGAGTCAAGAAATAGAACATTGCTGTCACCAAGGGGCCCATGATGTGTCTTCTCTTGACCACATCTCTCTCCTTCCCCACTACAGAGAATCACTATCCTGATTCTGTTTTTATTCTATTTTATTTTTTTCTTTATTGATTTGAGAGAGAGAGAGAAAGGGAAAGGGAGAGAGAGATAAAAGCATCAATGGGAGAGAACATAGATTGGCCACCTCCTGCATGCCCCCCATGAGGGATTGAGCCCACAATGCGGGCTTGTGCCCTGACCAGGAATTGAACCAGTGACCTCTTGGTGCATGGGTCGAGGCTCAACTATTGAGCCACACCGGCTGGGCACTATCTTGATTCTTAAAATAATCTTTTAATTGATTTTCTTTATAGTTTTATCACCTAGGTATGCATCCTAAAAATATAGTTTAGCTTTACATGTTTTTGAATGTTATGTAAGTGGAATCTTCATGTATGTATAATGTGTTTTTATTCTTTCACTCGGTTTCATGTAAGAGTTGTGGGAGGCAGCCTCTAAGGTGGCCCAGCGATTTCTACCTCTTGGTGCTCAGGGTCTTATGTAATTCCCTCCTCCTGAATAACTTGCTTCTAACCAACAGCATATGGCAACATCAGTGATTAAGTTATGAAAGACGGTGACTTTCAGGCTAGCCAGCGTTCTCCCCGTCGCTGGCGTTGATGGGGCACGTGGCTGTATGGGAGAGGTCTATGCTGCAGAAACCTGACCAGTCTCTATTCCACAACCAGCAAGGACCCGAGGCTCTGACTCCAGTGGCCCTCGAGGAGCTGAATCCTGTCAACAACTGTATAAGTGAACTTGGAAATGGATTCTTCTCCAGCTAAGACTTTAGATGAGATGCCAGTGTGAGCTAACCCCCTGACTGCAGCCTTATGAATCATTACAAAATAGAGAGCCCAGCTGAGCAGGACCTGGTCCACAGAAACTGTGAGACGGTAAATGAGCATCATTTTAAGCTGCTAAAATTGAGGTAATATTGCAAAACAACAGCTAACTAGTACAGATTGGACCACACAACACAGAGATGAGGATGAAGGGATCGCAGGGCACAGAGCAATTAATACACTAGAATAGATCTAGCCGAAGCAGAAAATCCAACCAGCTGAATGCGCTCCCCAGGAGCAGCGAGAATGATATCCTTGAAGTGGCAGAGGCCGGGTGTAAATGCATGATGGGTGTAAATGCATGATGGGCAGCAAGTTTGGAATGACAATCCGGGCAAAGTGATGGGTGACCCACAGGCCGAGGTCAGTGAACCCAGTGGAAAATTATGATCCCTCACCCAGTTTCCAGACCTGAGCCAGTTCTCAGATCTACAACCCACTGATTCATTGAAGGAGAGGCCAGTCCTCCAAGACCAAGGACCGCAGCAAGCGTATGTAGTAGTGATCTCTCAGTCCTTTCCCAGGGGGGCCCACAGCCATTTCCTCAGGGGACACTGGAATCCCCCCCCCCCCCCATTGCTGGGCACTGGATCTGCGTTGGCACTGACAGCCACTGTTCACAATATATTTAAAAATGTTTTGAAGGACACTGGTAATGAGATTTGGAACACTGATACCTTAGGTTGGGTGCCCTCAAGAAGAGACCCCAAAACAGGGATTTGAGGGCTAGTAGTTCAGAGATAACCCTAAAAGACTCTGGAGGGGAACAAGGGAAGTGATCTGGGGGAGAGATGGAAGCCAATATAGAATGATGCAATGAGCAGCTTACTCCTTACGCAGCTGGGGTTCATTCCACTGACGACCTCTAGACTGGTATGACCTGCCCCACTGCAGGGGGAAGAAGCTGGAGCATTTATCCACTGCTCCTGTCCCCTGGCTGAGCCCCGCTCCCGTCCCCTGGCTGAGCCCCGCTCCCGTCCCCTGGCTGAGCCCTCCTCCAGTCCCCTGGCTGAGCCCTCCTCCCGTCCCCTGGCTGAGCCCCGCTCCCGTCCCCTGGCTGAGCCCTCCTCCAGTCCCCTGGCTGAGCCCTCCTCCCGTCCCCTGGCTGAGCCCCGCTCCTGTCCCCTGGCTGAGCCCTCCTCCAGTCCCCTGGCTGAGCCCCGCTCCCGTCCCCTGGCTGAGCCCTCCTCCCGTCCCCTGGCTGAGCCCCGCTCCCGTCCCCTGGCTGAGCCCCGCTCCCGTCCCCTGGCTGAGCCCTGCTCCCGTCCCCTGGCTGAGCCCCGCTCCCGTCCCCTGGCTGAGCCCTCCTCCCATCCCCTGGCTGAGCCCTCCTCCCGTCCCCTGGCTGAGCCCTCCTCCCATCCCCTGGCTGAGCCCTCCTCCCGTCCCCTGGCTGAGCCCCGCTCCCGTCCCCTGGCTGAGCCCTCCTCCCGTCCCCTGGCTGAGCCCCGCTCCCGTCCCCTGGCTGAGCCCTCTTCCCGTCCCCTGGCTGAGCCCTGCTCCTACCGACTTGAGCCTGCCCAGGGCTTGCTCTCCATCCAGAGAAAGTCCAAGGACAGACAGGTCAAAGTGTTTGCTATAAGAAACAATCTTCCTATATGAAAACCAGGGTGCTGAGAGCATAAAGGTGGAAATCCTGGAATCACCTCTGAAGTCTGCTCTCTGCAGAGAAGAACAATAGGACAGATGAGAGCTAAGGATGACAAGTCAAGAGGGAAAATAATGAGGCACGAGGCTGTTGTTTTGTATGCATGGGAAATTAAGATTTATTTGAGAATTTAGGGACAGCGCCACACGAGAAAGCTGGCAGGGAAGAAATATATCAATTGGGATGACATGTTGGTTGAAAGATTTCAGAGAAAATTATAACTTTGTGTTCATTTAGGAGAGAGGTAGTAACATGGTGGGGGCAGTATATTTGGAGGCCAAAGTCAGATTAAGAATCAGTGGAACTGAGGTTTTACAATTGGCCTCTCATGACTCAGTTCAGTTGGACTACATTAAGAAGATTGGTTGGTGAAAACAAGGTGGGCGCAGGTCAGGGCGGTCAGCAGCAGGAACCACTAGAGCAGACTGGGCGGCAGCAGGTGGTCTGGCAGCAAATGGGGCGGCAGCAACAGGAGCCACAGCAGCTGGGGCGGCAGCAACAGGAGCCACAGCAGCTGGGGCGGCAGCAGGTGGTCTGGCAGCAAATGGGGCGGCAGCAACAGGAGCCGCAGCAGCTGGGGCGGCAGCAACAGGAGCCACAGCAGCTGGGGCGGCAGCAACAGGAGCCACAGCAGCTGGGGCGGCAGCAGGTGGTCTGGCAACAAATGGGGCGGCAGCAACAGGAGCCACAGCAGCTAGGGCGGCAGCAACAGGAGCCACAGCAGCTAGGGCGGCAGCAGGTGGTCTGGCAGCAGATGGGGCGGCAGCAGCTGGAGCCACAGCAGCTGGGGCGGCAGCAACAGGAGCCACAGCAGCTGGGGCGGCAGCAGGTGGTCTGGCAACAGATGGGGCGACAGCAGCTGGAGCCACAGCAAGAGGGGCGGCAGCATGTGGTCCCACAGCAGGTGGTCTGGCAGCAGCTGGGGCGGCAGCAGGTCTCCTGGCCACAGCCTTGGCCACAGCCCTGGTCAGAGCACACGGATCCACTACAGGAGTTGACCATGGTTGCAGAGGGTGAAGGTTCTGAGTGAGTTTTCAGGAAGGTGGGTTTGGAAGGTTTGGGAGTCTGCTTGGCCCACCTCCCCTTTTATACCCTGCTAAGGGGCTGCTGTCATCAGCTGCAGAGCTCTTTCCTTGTCATTGTTTGTCCTAATTAGCAGGCGATTATCAAAGTAGCCAAGTTTGTTTTCCTGGTTAACCTTTTGAAGATGGATGGGAAACATTGTTTCCTTTTCCTGATGTTTCAGGGTCCATCACTTGACCTCTTCCCGAATCACCTCTTATGTGTCCCTCTTGCTTCAGCTTCCTCCAAGAAATCTGTCACATGGTTTGCGCCTTTAGCCGGTGTGTGTGTTGGTCTCATGTTGCACAGACCAGCATGTGTCCCCTTGGGTGATAAAGGCTCTAATAAGTCACTTTCTTTCTGGTGACTTGGGAGGATCAAGCTGCATGTTAGTTTGATGGCTCACTCATTGTGGGTCAGGTGGGCAGAGAAGTTGTGAGTGTGAAACGGAGTCACTGGCATGAGAATGAGACTCTTAGGACTTTCCCCTCCTGAGTGTGAATCATGGCACCTTTTCTAGACTTTCTGATGGGAAACAACTGTTAAAGAAGAAAATCTAAGATGTGAAATTTTGATGTTTCTTCTTTTCCTTCAGCTTTAATGAGATACATACAAAAAATTACATCTCTAATGTATACACTTTGATGAGTTTGGACTTGCGCATGCACCATAAAATCATCTCCATAATTAAGGTACTAATTATACCCATCACCTCCAAAAGATTGTTTTCTGTTCCCTTGCTTTTTGTGTGTGTGGAAGAACATTAACATAACATTTACTTGGACAAGATTTTAAGTGTACCGTACCCTGCTGTTAACGATAGCCATGGTGTTGGACAGTAGATCTGTAGAAGCTACTTGCCTTGTATAACTAACTTTATACCCGCTGAACAACAGCTAGCCATTTCATACCACCCCAGTCTCTGGATACCAAACTTTCATCCTAAATTCCTTTCGTTTGTCGGATATCTCATATACGTGGATTCATGCAGTATTTTGTGCTTGTGTGATTGACTTATTTCACTTAGCGTGTCTTCCAGGTCCATCCATTACATCTCTATCACAAGTGACAGGATTTCTTTCCTTTCTTTATCTAAAGTGTAAATAATATTCATTTTTATTAGTGTATCAGAGTTGGCATTCAGCGTGCTGTTCAGGGTGTAAAGGCAGATAGAGGTTGGCAATAAGTGTGCACTTATATTGAGGTTAAAATCATGTGAAAAATCTTTGTCTTTTTTCATTATAAACTGCTCAGACCTCTTCTTAGACATGTGCAGGGGTGATTTATAGGCGAGCGGTTCTCAGTCTGTTTTTCTACCTGATACCAGGAATAACATATCTTTGGGTGAGGTTATACCTGGGCTAGACATGCTGGGGGCGAATAAAACATTAGGGTGTGTGGCTAAATAACAACTCCCAGGAAGTGTATGTATACTTACTCCTCCCCACATCATGTGCCATATATTGTATTAGTAACTGCTCTTTCAGATCTAAGAAAGGCTCTGACTTTCATCTTAGATTTAGTCTCTCATGCAAGGAGGTCTAAAGCTTTTTGAACTTGAAATGGTTGAGGTGCCCTTCTCAGTCACATGGTGGGACACACACGCTGCGATACATCCATACATGGAATAGCACTCAGCAGTAAAAACGAACCCTACTGATACGCTTGCATGATCTCAAGGGAAAGGTGCTGAGTGTAAATCACCAATCACCAGAGGTGACGTACCATAAGATTCCATTCGTGGAACATGCTGGAAAGAAAATTATAGAAACAGAGAACAGAGAAGTGATAGCCAGGGGTTCTGGATGAGGAGTGGGAGGGAGTAGGTGTGGCTACAGAGATGGAGCCTTATGGACAAGGACAGTTCTGTGTCTTAATTGCAATGGTGGTTACATAAATATATACAGCATATATGATAACACTGCATAGAACTACACACACACACACACACACACTCACGAGTGCATGTAATACTGGTAAAATCTGAGCCAGGTCTATGGATTGTACTAATGTCAGCTTTTGAGTTTTGAGATGTACTGTAATTACATAAGATGTGACAATTTGGTTTTTGCGACTGAGTTGTATAGTTCTTCATATATTTTGGAAATTAACCCTTTATCAACTACACAATGTACAAACATGTGCTCCCATTCAGTAGGTTGCCTTTTTATCTTGTTGATGCTTTCCTTTGCTGTGTAGAAGGTTTTTAGTTTATGTTGGTGTCAACACCAAAACATTATTGCCAAGACCTATGTGAATAAACTCACTGCCCTGCCCTGGCCGGTTTGGCTCAGCGGTTAGAGCGTCGGCCTGCGGTCCGGAGAGACCCGGGTTCGGTTCCCGCTAAGGGCACGTACTTCGGTTGCAGTTTGTCCCCGGCCCTGGTTGGTCGTGCGGGTGGCAGCCACTCGATGTGTCCCTTTCACGTCGATGTTTCCCTCTCTCTCTCTTTCTCTCTCTCCCTCCCACTCTGTACAAAAAATGGAAAAATGTCCTCGGATGAGGATTAAAAAAAAATAATAATAAAATAAAATAAACTCACTGCCCATGTGTTCTTCCAGGAATTTTATCGTTTCAGGGCTTACCTTCAAGTATTTAATCCATTTTGAGTTAATTTTTGTGTATGGTGTAAGATAGTGGCCCAGTTTTGTTCTTTTGCATGTGGCTGCACTGTTTTCCCAACAATATTTATTGAAAGGACAGTCCTTTCCCCATAGTGTATTTGCGGCTCCTTGGTCATAAATTAATAGACCATATATACTTGGGTTTATTTCTGGGCTCTCTATTTGGTTCCACTGATCTATGTGTCTGTTTTTATGCCAATGCTATTTGGTTTTGATTACTATAGCTTTGTAATACAGTATGAAATCAGAGAGCATGATGCCTCCAGCTTTGCCCTTCTTTCTCAAGATTGCTTTTACTATTCTGGTCTCTTGTTATTCCATATAAATTTTAGAATTGTTTTTCTGTTCTGTGAAAAATGCCATTGGCATGTTCATGGGGATTGCATTGAATCTGTAGATTGCTTTAAATAGTATGCTGATGATGTGACCACCTTCTGTTTATTTGTAAAAGTATCTGAGTTATTCTCAATTAAGATACACATTAAACACTTATTTTCTGAAGATTCTTATAATTTAGGGAACAACTTCCTCTTTGAGAATTTCCCTGTAATTACCAAAACAACATAAACAAAAACAAGGAAAGCCCTGCTTATTGGTCCCAACATTGGGGGTGCAGTGTATAAAAGCCCCAGAATAGAAGAATTCATCAGAATCTGAAAAACTCACCTGTGAATAGAAACTCACCTTCTACCCCTGACACCATGTGCTGTTCCTCGTGCTGTCAGCCCACCTGCTGTGGGTCCAGCTGCTGCCGGCCCTGCTGCTGCTGCCGCCCATGCTGCGTGTCCAGCTGTTGCCGGCCCAGCTGCTGCTGCCGCCCATGCTGCGTGTCCAGCTGTTGCCGGCCCAGCTGCTGCTGCCGCCCATGCTGCGTGTCCAGCTGCTGCCGGCCCAGCTGCTGCTGCCGCCCATGCTGCGTGTCCAGCTGCTGCCGGCCCAGCTGCTGCTGCCGCCCATGCTGCGTGTCCAGCTGTTGCCGGCCCAGCTGCTGCTGCCGCCCATGCTGTGTGTCCAGCTGTTGCCAGCCCTGCTGCCGCCCATGCTGCGTGTCCAGCTGCTGCCGGCCCTGCTGCTGCTGCCGCCCATGCTGTGTGTCCAGCTGCTGCCGGCCCTGCTGCTGCTGATGACCTCATCAAAGAACCACCATCTACGTACAACATCTTCAGTTAACTGACTTGCCATTTTGGAAACAAATTCACTTCCTAAACTTTGTTGAGAACCAGCATGTTTGACCATAATTTCTGTGACCCATGTGCTTGATTAAAGCTTCTGCATCAGTTTGATGGAGAGCAGAAGACTTCCTCCAATCTTCTTCCTCTTGCGTGTGTGGATCACGTGCCGGCTTCGTGCATCCTTCTTGTGGAGTTATGGTTTTGGCTGTAACTCTGAAGTCAGGATCACCCAGTCCCTCTAGGTAACTTAGTCAAACAAATTCTCATAATTTTTAATAGGTTTTGCAACTGATATGTAATCTCGGTAATTTTATTATCTTTATCAATGTACGCGTGCTTCTTGTATCAGGATTCTTTTATGATCACTTCGAATTGTCTTCCTAAATGCAGGAGTCTTATCTATGTTTCTTAATAAATCCTATACCATCATTCATCCATATTGTGTTTTATTTATTGTACAGCATTCTTGATATAGGCATTTAAACACTTAGTTCATACTAGATGCATTATTCATTCTGAGCATCATAATAGCCCCCATGACAATTATCTCCATTTTCCGGGGTGGGGGAGGAGGTCCAGTTAATTGTTGAATGTCACATAGCAAGGAATGAACTGACTCAGATCCAGGAATGAGTCTTCTGTTTCTGCTCAAAGGCACTTACAGTTATATCCCAAAGAAGCCTCCGGTTACCATGCCCTTGGCATGCATGCTGTGGGCTGTCCTTGCGCAGTGACCGTTGCTACTGGGCATGGACATACTGTGAGACGCCCAGCAATTCCCACCTACCAAATGGACCACTACCTGCACTCTACCTTCCCCGATAATTGCCCCTCACCAACCAGGAACTGCATTCTCTGCCTGCTCATCTACTGATATGAGGAGTCCAGACTGACCAGATGGTCGCTGGAGACTGGGCCATGTCCCTGAAAAAATGTGCTTTCCTAGGAGTAACACCTTTAGTCCAGGGGAGGACAAAGCCATGACAGGATGGGAAGTGCAGATTCCCAAGTATGTCACTGGGGGTTAACGTGAGAAGATTCAATCCGACTTCCACCCAACCCATGTATCCTACCATTTATGGATACATGTGGTCCTACACAGATGTTACTGATATAATGGCCATTGGGCTGAGGTAGATTCCACATCCAGAAGACAATATAGCAATCCTACAAGTTGTCACCTCTATGTGTCTTTGCTGCACATCTAAGAGACCATTCCAATTTTTCATCAGGCCAGCAATTTCTCTGGCATATGACATATAGTAGGACAAGTAGGTCCATAGGACAAGGCGATCCATGGTTTTGTGCCTATCGTTACCTTGTTCATCACAGAGTGGGTCACTTGGTCCACACTGATGCTACCCAGGATCCAGTGACGATGATCCTGTAAGCTGGTGGATAGCACTGCAGGCAGGGAAAACAAGCCTTTTCACCGAACCTGCAACCATCGTAAGGAAGCACTGTCTTCTCAATGCGGAAGTGATCCGATGAACCACACTTGGCTCAGGGGTGGTTAGTGTTCATGAATGTTGTTATCAATCAGAACTCACCTCTTGTCTCTTCTTCCGACGACAGCACATACCACAGAGGCAGCTGTGGGAAGAGGGGGCCCTTACTGTAGGTCCACACAAAGCCTCTGTCCCTGCCACCACGGTGCATGTCCCTTGTGGAAGTGCTGGTGCACCGAGGAGCTGGCTTTACCAACCTGCACTCGTCCAGGGCCTCCTGAGAGGTGGGACACGAGGGGGAAGCACTTTCTGCTGACACACCACCTCCACGTACACGATTCTTCTTCCAATCATGCTTCTTCCAGGGATGAGATAGCTCAATCAGGCCTTTCCTCATTTGCAAGTAGCCAACAAACATCATTTTCTGAGGCCACCCCCCCCCAACCACTGTACTATTCACAGTTCTTTTCATTGGGAATATTGCCTTTTTCCACCGTGTTTAGAGACCAGACGTTTTTGATGTGCTGTAGTAAACATTCCCCATCTGGCCTAAAGCTGCTAGTGGGGCCATCGATCAATAAAGTTTACGTAGCCCATGTCCATATATTGTAATCAATTAAGTTTTGAAAAAAATCAAATGGAACTGTGCTGGAAATTACCACTCATGTATTCTTCAATCATTGAGGTCAGCACTAAACTCCATGTATGTGCTGTGATTTCTCATTAATATCTTCGTTTTGATGTTTATTATTTGTAAATTGAAGTTAGTCTGTATTAAGCCAGGACTACAAAGATAAATAAAAGAGATACTATCTTAGATTATCAAGGTAAAAAAAAAAGGAAAAAATATATTCTCTGGAAATAATAAGGGTGATGAGTATATTATTTCTGTAACATCCCTTGAAAATATAAGAATGAGGTCTCTTAAGAAGGTATCTGACTATAGACAGACCAAACCAGTAAAATAAGGGAAACAAGAGAAATAAAACACTTCTAGATTAATCTTTGGGTGGACATACATATAAGATGACAGTGGAGAAATAAAGATATGTTTGTAAGGGATGATCACACAGTATATTGAGAAATAATTCTTGAGTTGGTTTAAGTGTATTCTATCTTTCTCCCAAACATACAGCTAATGAGTGGCAGAACAGGATTTAAGGACTCTTCCGTATGATTTTAATTCCCATAACCAAAATACATTGCATTCTACTTTCACAGTAGAAAACTTATGGGTGAGGATAAAATCAGAGCTAAATCGATGCACAATCTTGGAGGCAATCTAGTACAGACAATGGATAAGGCAGACTAGAAACATCTTACAGAATTGACACGGAGACAAGTAATAAGAATGATAAAATATGGCTATATATTGTAAGGATATCTTATTCCATGAAGCCAGAATCTGATAACATCTAGAATATTTTGAGAAACAACTCTGAACTTCAACTTTAAAAATCAAGATCCATTTTCAAGGTTAGTGACAAGGGTGTTGGGGAAAAATGCACACCGTAAAATTCATGCCGCCAACAGGGAAACACTGTCCTTAGTCAGAAGTGAATCCCACGAGGTGGGGAAACACGCCAGAGATCAGAGAGCTGGGAATGTGATGGTGCAGCACGGACAGCAGGTGTCTGACGGGAGGAGGAGCTGCTGCGCAGTGTGGTTCTGACTCTCTAGCCACAAGTGATCCCATTTTGGGCCAGGGGTTGTGGGGAATTTACAGCTATGCCCCTGGCCATAAAGGGGACTCACTGTCCTACTGGGAGCTGAGGGGGGACAGGCAGCCTGGCAGTGGTAACAGGTATCATTTGCAACTCATCTCTGATGCAGTAAACATCCATGTGCTCATTTAAAAATAAATCCAAAAAAAATTAAGTAAGGATTAAGTTGGGGGATGAGAGACAATGCAATGGCATTTATGATTTAAAAAATTCATCGCCTCTAAACTGTCTAAGGAATAGAAGAAAATAACTTGCTATGTTTTGCGAGGCAAATATGACATCAGAGGAAAGTGAAAACTTGAAACTCCACAGTCTCTGAAGAATGTACTCAAGAATAAAGGTAGAGAAATCTGTGAGTCACAGGAGCTGCAATGGGCCGAGGTCTGGTGATTGTGGCCTGATCTAGTCATCCTTCCGGGGCACTCGGTGGGATGTGGGGTACGGCTTGATTCTGGCTCTGGTAAGGGTGGGAGTGTTGGGACCCAGGCCGCCTCCTTCAGAGCAGTCCGGTATCTTTGATGAGCCAGCAAGGCTGATGTCTAGGACACATGCCAGCTTCCAAGACGAAGGATTCAGGATGCTCTGAATGGACCGCCAAGACCAAACCTGCTGACTGCTGTCTCGTGCTGAATTTTTGCGCGAATGAGATGAGGAACTAACGTGCTCGGATTGCCTAGTATCTGCTAGATATTTATTAAATGCTCTTGGTTCTTATCTTTAATTCCTGAAGAATATTTCAAGGTTGGTATATATGTTCCCATTTTAGAGAACAAATTAAGACCGAGAGAGGTTACTGAAAGTCATAGGTTTCATTTTCAGAGAAAATATCCAGAGAAAACATTCCAGAGAACAAGGTTTATTTCGATGTGCAGCTCACATGGGCAGAGAGCTGAGGAAATGATGCAGGCAAAGGGCACATGAAGCCAGTATCAAGTTTGCAAATGAAGCTTCAACGGGGGCAAACTATCAGAAGTGATGGAAACATATACTTTAGAAGTGTCCTGCTTGACAAACAAAGAAGCTGACGAAGTCTTTATAAAGACTTCAGCTCTGCAGAACCAGTGGTTGGATGTTTCCATAGGTGACAGGCACGGACAGTATGACTTTCTGCGGCTGCGTGGAGAGAGCCCTAAACATAAAAGTTCACAGGGCAGAAGGAAACTGATCTGAGCACACTAAGTCCAAGACGTGTGCGTGGGTGTCTCAGTCATTCTGGAGTGTGATAACAAATGACTGCAGAGTCGGGGGCCCAAACAGTAACATTTATTTCTCAGAGTCCTGCAGGCTGCGAAGTCAGGATCAAGGTGTTGGCAGGTTAGGTATTTGGTTGGACCCTCTTTCTGGTTTGCAGATGGCTGGTTTATTGCTGTATCCTCTACTGGTAGAGAGGCGGGCGGGGGGTGGGGGGAGCTGTGGTCTCCTTTCCTTATTATCAGAGCACTAATTTCATCATGGGGGCTTTGTCCCTATAACCCCATTCAAATCTAATTACCTCTTAAAGATCCCACCTCCAAATGCCATCACATTGAAAGTTACAGTTTCAGCATACTAATCTTGGAAGGCAACAAACATTTAGTCTATAGCAGTGAGGTAATAAAAACTTCATGTACAACTTTCCCTTTGCTTCTCTCAGACCTCTCTCTGCTTCTTCAAGGTGGTGGACAGCCACAATTTCTAGAATGAGAAGCAGAATAAGAAGGAGAAGGAGAAGGACTAGGAAGAAGAAGAAAAAGAGAAGAGAACTTTAACCTCAAGGAGCTGGAAAAAGAGCAAAGGATCT